CGGTCCATGGACTGACCTCGGTGTCCTCTGTATGGACGGTCCAAGGCCTGACCTCTGTGTCCTCTGTATGGACGGTCCATGGACTGACCTCAGTGTCGTCTGTATGGACGGTCCATGGACTGACCTCAGTGTCGTCTGTATGGACGGTCCACGGACTGACCTCAGTGTCATCTGTATGGACGGTCCATCAGTCCATGGACTGACCTCAGTGTCGTCTGTATGGACGGTCCCACGGACTGACCTCAGTGTCGTCTGTATGGACGGTCCACGGACTGACCTCAGTGTCCTCTGTATGGACGGTCCATCAGTCCATGGACTGACCTCAGTGTCGTCTGTATGGACGGTCCATGGACTGACCTCAGTGTCATCTGTATGGACGGTCCATGGACTGACCTCAGTGTCGTCTGTATGGACGGTCAATGGACTGACCTCAGTGTCCTCTGTATGGACGGTCCATGGACTGACCTCAGTGTCGTCTGTATGGACGGTCCACGGACTGACCTCAGTGTGATCTGTATGGACGGTCCATGGACTGACCTCAGTGTGATCTGTATGGACGGTCCATAGACTGACCTCAGTGTGATCTGTATGGACGGTCCATGGACTGACCTCAGTGTGATCTGTATGGACGGTCCATGGACTGACCTCAGTGTCCTCTGTATGGACGGTCCATGGACTGACCTCGGTGTCGTCTGTATGGACGGTCCATGGACTGACCTCAGTGTCCTCTGTATGGACGGTCCATGGACTGACCTCAGTGTGATCTGTATGGACGGTCCATGGACTGACCTCAGTGTCCTCTGTATAGACGGTCCATGGACTGACCTCAGTGTGATCTGTATGGACGGTCCATGGACTGACCTCAGTGTGATCTGTATAGACGGTCCATGGACTGACCTCAGTGTGATCTGTATGGACGGTCCATGGACTGACCTCAGTGTCATCTGTATGGACGGTTAATGGACTGACCTCAGTGTGATCTGTATGGACGGTCCATGGACTGACTTTAGAAGACCGCTGGCTCTGGCCTTCACTTGTTTACATCCTGCAAGGGTCCTTCTTTAGGTATCTGTCACGTGTCCCCCACACACCACACCCACAGCGACTAGCTAACCGAGGCGCATGTGCGGCCATGACTTGGGGTAAGAGGGAATAAAGGGGACTTAACTTTGAATATATAAAACTGTATATAAGATCAGCCGTGATACACTTTCACAGCCCGCACTACCTCTGCCCACCACCAGGGGGAGACTCCACTCCAATCCAGCTGGTGGATCACACACAGGCAGATACAAATCTTATATACAATCTGGTGCACCGATTAGAGTTGAGGACCAGCTTAGTAATTGCACCCTTCTAGAGTCCCTCCAGCTATCCTACAAGCCAGAACCCCGGTGTTATCACCCCTCCACTGTCCCACACCCCCCCCCACACCAGACACACCACAAAAGGTAGCCTGCCACCACCCAACAGTTTATCCACAGAACGGTCTGCTGGGCCACCCCACACACACAGATCTCCGTCTGGCAGATCTGTTACCTTTACAATCTGCCCACTCACAGTGCAATTGCATACAGATTGGCAATGAGCTTAACCGAGCGTTTTAAAAGCACTAAAATACAATCCAATCTAATCTCTCCGGAGATATGAGCCCGAGCTTAAATACACAGAAGTCACTTATTAATTTTAAGGTTTAATTTCCCAAAGTGGGCGGGGCATAAAATATGTACAAATATAAAAAGTTACAGAAATACAAAATAGACAAGAAGACACACAAATGACTTCACTATAAAATAAAAGGAAATAAAAGACAATAACACTTTACCAGGATTTATCCTGCGACTGGAGCAAGTCAGAAAAGTTCCTGGAAGGGTCCTCCTATAAGTGTCCGCATCACTGCCTGTATGGATTGGACACTTCCTATTAGACCATTGGCTCAGGCCTTCAATTCTGTTTACTTCCTGGAAGGGTCCTTCTTTAGTTGTCCATGTCATTTGCCTGTCAGAATTGGAAACTTCCTATTAGAAGAACGCTGGCTCAGGCCTTCACTTCTGTTTACTTCCTGGAACATTACTTCCTTAGGTGTCCAGGTCAGTGCCTGTCAGGATTGGAAACTTCCTATTAGAAGACCTCTGGCTTAGTCCTTCACTTCTGCTTACTTCCTGGAAGGGTCCTTCTTTAGGTGTCCACATCGCTGTCTGTCAGGACTGGACTCTTCCTATTAAAGACCGCTGGCTCAGGCCTTCACTTCTTTTTACTTCCTGGAAGGGTCCTTCTTTAGGTGTCATCATCACTTGCCTCTCAGAAATGGACACTTCGCATAAGATGACCGATGGCTCAGGCCTTCACTTGTTTACTTCCCGGATGGGTCCTTCTTTAGGTGTCCACGTCACTGCCTGTCAGATTTGGACATTTCCTATTATTCGATGACCGCTGACTTAAGCCTTCACTTCTGTTTTAATTCTGGAAGGGTCCTGTGACGTCAGACCCCCAGCCCTTCTCACCAACTCGTGACCGAAACGACTAGCCAATCTAAAACTGCGCTGTCACGTGCGTAACAATGCCACGCCCAGCTGCACCCTGCACAAAGATTTTCCAGCTAATGAAGCACAATCTATGTACCTGCAGCCTGAGAGCTGGGTACCGTCTCCCAAGTTGGTTCCGATCTTAAAAGGAGAATTCTTCAACTTCTTTCCCTCAGGCCTGACAACCTATTTTGTAGGCTTCCAGCAGGGGGTGTCTCTGAAGCCAAGGGACAATCGCCTTATTTGGGGAGGGGTGTCTAGGCGGAGACCCAAGCTAGAACCAAAATCTCTCCCAAGTTATACCAGGGTCAGTAACCTTCCCTAGGTACACGTAACATTCTATCCACAGGTAGATTAATATGCAGAATCATCCGCTGAACATCTAGATATAAAACATTCTATATTTTACTGTTCCAGCTGGAACGATATGGCTTTCTGCTCTCCTGTAGACTTCAACTAGGGGGTGTAAGATATCAGGCGACTCGCATTAAACTGAGCTATCCAAATATATGCTTTGCTTCATTGTAATTATTTCCCATCTCCAGATATAAAATTATATGGGAAAGTGGGTTTTAAATGTGATGTCTGTTTTACGGCTAGCTGGAATGTCTCTGACGTCCCGTGAAGGACTGGTTTTATGGCTTTACGATTATCTCAGATTGAGACACTAACAGACACCCGGGCACCAGTTAATTTTGGATTTATAACCATGAAGCTGTCCCGCTGTGCCTGTGCACTTCTGAACCCAGGGACCACGTGTCACTCAACAGAGAGGGAGGGGGGGGGGGGAAGTTGATTTGGAGTAGAAATGATACAAGATGGAGGGCCTTTGGCAAAATGGAGGTTCGCATCCATCTCTGTATGTACAATTGCTACAGGTTCTTCTTTAGGCGTCCACATCATTGCCAGTCAGAATTGGATACTTCCTATTAGAAGACCGCTGGCTCAGGCCTTCACTTCTTTTATCTTCCTGGAAGGGTCCTTCTTTAGGTATCCACGTCACTGCCTATCAGAATTGTACACTTTCTATTCGAAGACCGCTGGCTTAGGCCTTCACTTGTTTCCTTCCTGGAATTATCCTTCTTTAGGTGTCCACGTCGCTGCCTGTCAGAATTGGACACTTATTAGTAGATCGCTGGGTCAGGCCTTCACTTCTGTTAACTTTCTAGAAGGGTCCATCTTTAGGGGTCCATGTAACTGCCTTTCAGAATTGGACACTTCCTATTAGAAGACCGCTGGCTCAGGCCTTCACTTCTGTTTACTTCCTGCAAAGGTCCTTCTTTAGGTGTCCACGTCACTTGCCGGTCAGGATTGGACACTTCCTATTAGAAGACCGATGGCTTAGGCCTTCACTTTTCACTTCCTGGAAGAGTCCATTAGGTGTCCACATCACTTGCCTGCCAGAATTGGACACTTCCCATTAGAGGACCACTGGCTTAGGCCTTCATTTGTTTACTTTCTGGAAGGGTCCTTCTTTAGGTGTCCACATCACTGCCTGTCAGGATTGGACACTTACTATTAGAAGACCGAGGGCTTAGGCCTTTACTTGTATACTTCCTGGAAGGGTCCTTCTTAAGGTGTTCACATCACTTGCCTGTCAGAATTGGACCCCCCCCCCCCCCCCCACGCTCTGTACTGTACATTCCATCCTCCTCCTCCCCTATACATTCTACCCCTCCTCTCCCCACCATGCTCTGTACATTCCACCCCCCCGCTCTGTACATTACATTCTCTAACCCCCCCTCTACTACACATTCTACCCTCCTCCACTTACTCTGTACATTCTACACCCCCCCCCCCCCCCCGTACACTGTGCCGTGCATTCCATCCCCCCATGCTCTATACTTTTTGCCCTCCTCCATCCCCCACTTTGTACATTCCATTTTCCACCCCCCCCCACTCTGCACAGTGCTGTACATTACACGTTCCCGCCCTACTATATACATACATTCTACCCCCCTTCCCCCTGTGCTACACATTACACCCCCCACTATATACATTCTACCCTCCTACCGCCGCCCCCCCCCCTTGTACCCTGTGCTGCACATTACACCCCCTCCCCCCCCATATACATTCTACCCTCCTACCCCCCCCCCGTACTACACATTACCCCCCCCCCCCCCCCCCCCACTCTGTACCCTCTCCTGTACATTCTACCCCCCCCCCGTACCCTGTGCTGCACGTTCTTCAAACACAGAATATGGTCTATGAAGCCCCAGTACAGATTTTGATCATCATTCTCCCTGCAGAGCGGCAACCTATACCAGAGCGCACCCACCTCCCCCCCAGAGGGCCCGACAAGAGCCACACCCATAGCCCCCCCCCCCCCCCCCCCCCCCCCACTGTCATATGACTGGAGGAGGAAAGTAAAAAGAACAAACGAGTCATCAGGGATGAAAAAGTAACCAACGGCCATTTATTGATACATAAGAAACCGTGACAACCGAACGCCGGAAACCCTCCAACTTCCTCTTCTCAGCAACCGTATTTCCCCTTCAGCTCTTTCACCAGCTGGATGTACTGCGCCCGGGCGTCCTCCTGGCTGATCCCTGCAAACACAAAAAAGGGGGTCAGTCAGAACATCTCCCGCACATATACACAGAGGGAACCCCAGGGGTCATCAGTCAGAACATCTCCCACACATATACACAGGGGAACCCCGGGGATCATTCAGTCAGAACATCTCCCGCACATATACACAGGGGAAACCCCGGGAATTCTTCGTCAGAAACATCTCCCCACACATATACACAGGGGGAACGGGGGGGGTCATCAGTCAGAACATCACCCGCACCTATACACAGTGGGAACCCTAGGGGGGGGGGGTGTCATCAGTCAGAACATCTCCCGCACATATACACAGGGAATTCGTTGGAACATCTCCCGCACATAAATATAAAAAAGTATTTCTCCAATACCAAAACAAAAAAGGGTAGAGGAAAGGTGGGGGGATGGTCGGGGGGGGGGGGGGGTCCTCCTTTATTGTATATTGGATGATGGGGCTGTTACTAGGTAATTATAGGATTCCATTTCATCTTCTCACTCTATGCAAGTGGAAATCTATCTTGGTTTCCCCGTGATAATGCAACCCCCCCCCCATCATAATCCAACCCCCCCCCCCCATCATAATTCAAACCCCCCCCACCACCCCATCACTTGGAGAGGTGTGTGGGGGGGGCGTAGTGGGATGACAACCCCCGCCCCTCTATATTGCAGGTAGACAGACCTCCGAGACGATCAGGCCACACCCACACAGCCCATGCTCCACCCACCTTTTTTGCTCTCCCAGGCATCCCACTTGGCTTTTCCTTTGAAGTCCAACATTCCCGGCCGAGCTGCAGGAGGGAGAAAAACATCATCAACCAATCACATCGCAACCTGGTGACAGCTACCAATCACAGGGCAGAGATCTACTGCACGTGAAGTTTAACAGCTTACATCTTTCCCCCCCCCCCCCCCCTACAGCTAAATACACCCCCCCCCCCCCTACATGCTAAAATACACCCCCCTCCCCCCCCCCCTACATGCTAAATACATTCCCCCCACCCCACCCACATGCTAAATACACAACCCCTCCCCCCCTCCCCCCCCACATGCTAAATACATTCCCCCCCCACCCCCACCTACATGCTAAATACATTCCCCCCCCCACCTACATGCTAAATACATTCCCCCCCCCACCTACATGCTAAATGCATTCCCCCACCTACATGCTAAATACACCCCCCCTCCCACCTACATGCTAAATACATCCCCCCCTCCCACCTACATGCTAAATACATCCCCCCCCTCCCACCTACATGCTAAATACATCCCCCCCCCTCCACCTACATGCTAAATACATCCCCCCCCTCCACCTACATGCTAAATACATCCCCCCCCCCCCACCTACATGCTAAATACATCCCCACCTACATGCTAAATACATTCCCCCCCCCCCCACCTACATGCTAAAATACATCCCCCCCCCCCCAAATGCTAAATACATCCCCCCCCCCCAATGCTAAATACATCCCCCCCCAGTCCTGATGCAAGCAGTGGGCGGGCTCTTGGGGGAGGAGTTATGAAAAATGCTACAATGCCTTGATGGGTGGGTGTCAGTCTGGAGGGGTGGGCGTTCCTAGGCGGGCTGTATTCTGATAGGCAACGCCCACAAGAATGCTGAACCTCCATGATCCAAACAAAGAAATCCAATGAATGAAAGGGGAGGGGCCAGAGTCGGGCTGCGGAGGAAAGGGCTAGATGATGCTGGATGTTCTCCAGACAGGAAATGGGGCGGAGCTGACTTGCTGCAGCTTCTACCGCACACTGTGAGATCAGACAACTCAGGAAAGTCTATGTCCCTCCTAGATTGTAAGCTCCCAGGATCAGCCCCTCCCTCCTAGATTGTAAGCTCCCAGGATCAGCCCCTCCCTCCTAGATTGTAAGCTCCCAGGATCAGCCCCTCCCTCCTAGATTGTAAGCTCCCGGGATCAGCCCCTCCCTCTTAGATTGTAAGCTCCCGGGATCAGCCCCTCCCTCTTAGATTGTAAGCTCCCAGGATCAGCCCCTCCCTCTTAGATTGTAAGCTCCCAGGATCAGCCCCTCCCTCTTAGATTGTAAGCTCCCGGGATCAGCCCCTCCCTCTTAGATTGTAAGCTCCCGGGATCAGCCCCTCCCTCCTAGATTGTAAGATCCCGGGATCAGCCCCTCCCTCCTAGATTGTAAGATCCCGGGATCAGCCCCTCCCTCTTAGATTGTAAACTCCCAGGATCAGCCCCTCCCTCTTAGATTGTAAACTCCCAGGATCAGCCCCTCCCTCTTAGATTGTAAGCTCCCAGGATCAGCCCCTCCCTCTTAGATTGTAAGCTCCCAGGATCAGCCCCTCCCTCTTAGATTGTAAGCTCCCAGGATCAGCCCCTCCCTCTTAGATTGTAAGCTCCCAGGATCAGCTCCCCCTCCCTCTTAGATTGTAAGCTCCCAGGATCAGCCCCTCCCTCTTAGATTGTAAGCTCCCAGGATCAGCCCCTCCCTCTTAGATTGTAAGCTCCCAGGATCAGGGCCCTCAATCCCCTCGTGCATTGTATTGGTATTGTTCTGTCACATGTTCTGTCCCCTCTGTAATGTACAGCGCTGAGCCAACTATGGGGGCTTTATAAATACTGTATAATAATGAGAAGGGCTCCCATCCCCCACCCACCCACCTCCCCCTCACCTACCTGTGCTCCCATCCCCCACCCACCTCCCCCTCACCTACCTGTGCTCCCATCCCCCACCCACCTCCCCCTCACCTACTTGTGCTCCCATCCCCCACCCACCTCCCCCTCACCTACCTGTGCTCCCATCCCCCACCCACCTCCCCCTCACCTACTTGTGCTCCCATCCCCCACCTCCCCCTCACCTACCTGTACTCCCATCCCCCACCCACCTCCCCCTCACCTACCTGTGCTCCCATCCCCCACACTACCCAGTGTTCCCAACCACCTCCCCCCTCACCTACCTGTGCTCCCATCCCCCACCCACCCACCTCCCACTCACCTACCTGTGCTCCCATCCCCCTCACTACCCATTGTGACCCCCCTTGCCCCACTCACGTGTGTTGACGTCCCCCACAGTGGCCTGCTTGTAGAGGGCGTACACCTTCAGCATCTCCTCATCGGTGGGGGTCTGCTTCAGGGTCTTCACCTCCTCCGCAGCTTTATCAAAGTCCTCCTGGGGGGGGGAAATCAGATACAGACGGTGATCCCTCCTCATCCAGCAGAGGGCGCTGCAGACAATTAGCATGGTGCACCCTCAGATATGTACAGGGGGAGGAGCCACACCAGGGGAGGAGCCACACACGGGGAGGAGCCACACATTTCTCTGGCACAGAATGGATTCCTGAGAGAGTGGATAACACTGAGCACCGAGGAAATCGTAATAATTCCTGGCAGTGATTGGTGGAGGAGGTGAAGCTCCGCCCTCACAGCAATTCCAGGCATACAGAACCTCCCGCCTCCTAACACTCCTATTGGTCAGGTAATCAGTGATGGTAAACAAACGCTCCTGTGCTCGGGGCGGCTACAACCACGATGGAGGTCCGGGAACCTCCCCCCCCCCCGCCGCCCCCTCGGGAGGAACCCGCCGCCCCCTCGGAGGAACCCGCCGCCCCCTCGCCACCCTCGGAGGAACCGCCCCCCCCCTCCCCAGAGGAACCGGCTGCCCCCTCACCGCCCTCGGGAGGAACCGGCCGCCCTTGGAGGACAAGAAAATCCAAATGTACGGAATGAGGAAAGAACAGAACGGGGGCGTCCGGGCCGAGTACATACCATCAGAGATTAAGGTAGGGGTTGTACTCAAAGGACAGGGAAGTCAAAGGCACATCATAAAAGAACAGCTGGGCCAGCACCGCACCACGTGACTGTCCACCATGAGGAGTGGAGACATCCAATAGGCTGACACTCTTCCTCAGAGCCGGCTGAGCCAATGTCTGCTCCCCTTATATATGATCACTACTAGCAGAACCAAAGGTCACATGTGGGCTGTCGTGGACACACCCCCGAGGGGGGGGGGGGGAGGAGTCACAGGGGCTGACCTTGTGAAAGCAAAAACACAAAAATATAAATCTATAAATCCACTGAATGTCAGAGATCCAGAAACACCACAAGAAACGTACAAATGAGAATATAAACTCCTCCTGTAACATCGCACGCCATTGGTCACATATCCACCTATAAAGGAGCACCACCATCATATGAGTCACATGGTGTACCGGGACACGCCTACCTGGGGTGGGGCAAGAATAGGAAGTCACATGGTGTACAGGGACACGCCTACCTGGGGTGGGGCAAGAATAGGAAGACACATGATGTACAGGGACACACCTACCCGGGGTGGGGCAAGAATAGGAAGACACATGGTGTACAGGGACACACCTACCCGGGGGTGGGGGCAAGAATAGGAAGACACATGGTGTACAGGGACACGCCTACGCGGGGTGGGGCAAGAATAGGAAGACACATGATGTACAGGGACACGCCTACCCGGGGGTGGGGCAAGAATAGGAAGACACATGATGTACAGGGACACGCCTACCCGGGGGTGGGGCAAGAATAGGAAGACACATGGTGTACAGGGACACGCCTACGCGGGGTGGGGCAAGAATAGGAAGACACATGGTGTACAGGGACACGCCTACGCGGGGTACCGGGGTGGGGCAAGAATAGGAAGTCACATGGTGTACAGGGGACACGCCTACCTGGGGTGGGGCAAGAATAGGAAGACACATGATGTACAGGGACACACCTACCCGGGGTGGGGCAAGAATAGGAAGACACATGGTGTACAGGGACACACCTACCCGGGGGGTGGGGCAAGAATAGGAAGACACATGGTGTACAGGGACACACCTACCCGGGGGTGGGGCAAGAATAGGAAGACACATGGTGTACAGGGACACGCCTACGCGGGGGTGGGGCAAGAATAGGAAGACACATGATGTACAGGGACACGCCTACCCGGGGGTGGGGCAAGAATAGGAAGACACATGATGTACAGGGACACGCCTACCCGGGGGTGGGGCAAGAATAGGAAGACACATGGTGTACAGGGACACGCCTACGCGGGGTGGGGCAAGAATAGGAAGACACATGATGTACAGGGACACGCCTACCCGGGGTGGGGCAAGAATAGGAAGACACATGATGTACAGGGACACGCCTACCCGGGTGGGGGTGGGGCAAGAATAGGAAGACACATGGTGTACAGGGACACGCCTACGCGGGGTGGGGCAAGAATAGGAAGACACATGATGTACAGGGACACGCCTACCCGGGGGTGGGGCAAGAATAGGAAGACACATGGTGTACAGGGACACACCTACCTGGGGGGTGGGGCAAGAATAGGAAGACACATGGTGTACAGGGACACGCCTACCCGGGGTGGGGCAAGAATAGGAAGACACATGATGTACAGGGACACGCCTACCCGGGGGTGGGGCAAGAATAGGAAGACACATGGTGTACAGGGACACACCTACCCGGGGTGGGGCAAGAATAGGAAGTCACATGGTGTACAGGGACACGCCTACCCGGGGTGGGGCAAGAATAGGAAGACACATGGTGTACAGGGACACGCCTACCCGGGGTGGGGCAAGAATAGGAAGACACATGGTGTACAGGGACACGCCTACGCGGGGTGGGGCAAGAATAGGAAGTCACATGGTGTACAGGGACACGCCTACCCGGGGTGGGGCAAGAATAGGAAGACACATGGTGTACAGGGACACGCCTACCCGGGGTGGGGCAAGAATAGGAAGACACATGGTGTACAGGGACACGCCTACCCGGGGTGGGGCAAGAATTGAAGTCACATGGTGTACAGGGACACGCCTACCCAGGGGTGGGGCAAGAATCGGAAGTCACATGGTGTACAGGGACACGCCTACCCGGGGTGCGGCAAGATACTAGCATGGGGCATGGATCGGAACACACATGGTGTACAGGGACACGCCTACCCAGGGGTGGGGCAAGAATCGGAAGTCACATGGTGTACAGGGACACCTATGCGGGGGTGGGGCAAGAATCAGAAGACACATTGTGTACAGGGACATGCCTACCCGGGGGTGGGGCAAGAATCGGAAGTCACATGGTGTACAGGGACACGCCTACCCAGGGGTGGGGCAATCTTCCCAACCCCCCCCCTCCCCCAGGATGGAGTGGAGTAATGGCGGGTTGGGGAGATTTCCTTCACTTCCTGTCCCCCAGCCAGGAGGGGGAATGTGGTGGAAAAGGTAACGGGGTGTCATGTTATATTGGGGGGGCAGGTTACCCCCCATAACTCCCCTGCTGAACACAGGACATCACTCCTCCCAATGTATTGCTGGTTGTAGGGAATCCCCTCATCTGCATATCAACTCCTCCCACCTTCAGAGACTCCTCCCCCTAAGAGCACTGGACTCAGCCAATGTTATATATAAATGTCCTTAAGCCCTCTGATTGGCTGAGAATTACCTGTGACATGTTGCAGCTCGGGGGGGGGGCAGTATATAGATGTATATACAGTACCTGTGACATGTTGCAGCTCTGGGGGGGGGGGCAGTATATAGATGTATATACAGTACCTGTGACATGTTGCAGCTCTGGGGGGGGGGCAGTATATACGGTACCTGTGACATGTTGCAGCTCTGGGGGGGGCAGTATATAGCTGTATATACGGTACCTGTGACATGTTGCAGCTCTGGGGGGGGGGCAGTATATAGATGTATATACGGTACCTGTAACATGTTGCAGCTCTGGGGGGGGGGGGGGCAGTATATAGATGTATATACGGTACCTGTGACATGTTGCAGCTCTGGGGGGGGCAGTATATATGATGTATATACAGTACCTGTGACATGGTTGCAGCTCGGGGGGGGGGGCAGTATATAGATTGTATATACGGTACCTGTGACATGTTGCAGCCCTGGGGGGGGGCAGTATATAGCTGTATATACAGTACCTGTAAAACATGTTGCAGCTCTGGGGGGGGGGGGGCAGTATATAGCTGTATATACGGTACCTGTGACATGTTGCAGCCCTGGGGGAGGGGGGGGGCAGTATATAGCTGTATATACGGTACCTGTGACATGTTGCAGCCCTGGGGGGGGGGCAGTATATAGATGTATATACGGTACCTGTGACATGTTGCAGCTCTGGGGGGGGGCAGTATATAGATGTATATACAGTACCTGTGACATGTTGCAGCCCTGGGGGGGGGGGCAGTATATAGATGTATATACAGTACCTGTGACATGTTGCAGCCCTGGGGGGGGGGGGGCAGTATATAGTTGTATATACGGGTACCTGTGACATGTTGCAGCTCTGGGGGGGGGGGCAGTATATAGATGTATATACGGTACTGTGACATGTTGCAGCTCTGGGGGGGGGGCAGTATATAGATGTATATACAGTACCTGTGACATGCTGCAGCCTGGGGGGGGCAGTATATAGATGTATATACGGTACCTGTGACATGTTGCAGCTCTGGGGGGGGCAGTATATAGATGTATATACCGGTACCTGTGACAGTGTTGCAGTTTGGGGGGGGCAGTATATAGCTGTATATACGGTACCTGTGACATGTTGCAGCTCTGGGGGGGGGGGGCAGTATATAGATGTATATACGGTACCTGTGACATGTTGCAGCTCTGGGGGGGGGGCAGTATATAGATGTTATACGGTACCTGTGACATGTTGCAGCTCTGGGGGGGGGCTAGTATATAGCTGTATAGCGGTATATACGGTATACTGTGACATGTTGCAGCTCTGGGCGCCTCTCTCTCGGTCTCTCCGGGTCACTCTGAGCACATGCAGCGCCTTCCCTTTCACTCTCTGTCCTCAGCTCCTGACTCCGCCCCTGGTCTCACCTCTTTTCACCCAATCAGCGAAAAGTCACCGGGCGCACGTGACCGGCGGCCATCTTTTTTTCGGGCAGATAGCAGTGTGTGCAGTACGGATCACCTTCCCCGGAACTCAGAACCACACATGTCAGTGCCCGCCAACCCCCTCCTCTGTTACCCCGGAGACCGAGACTCCCATTCCCTGAGCTCACACTGATCCCTCTATGAGGTGAACACTTCCACTTCCTGACACCTTCCTGAAACTCTGTGTGCTCCCCACCCCCACCTGCAA